CCTCTACATATATATATATATATATATTACACACACACAGTCTCAACTATTGCTTCGACCACAATACCATTGCAGACGTGCAAAGGGCTGCAGAGATTTCAGCAGGTCTCTCRGGGGTCTTCCTACAAATCTAGTATTAATAATCTGAAATTACAGAACAGTRCAATGAGTCAATGAAGATCTTTAACTTTTGTCATATTAAATATTAACATACTAAAACTGATCAAATTAACAYGTTTTACTTTTAAAGAATAATGTCACCTGTATAATGTTTTTTTTAAAGATGGTAATGCATCATTAACATGGCTAAGAAGATTAAAGTCTCCATTAAGTTATGTTTTTTTAACCTCTAGCAGTAAAATAAATCAAACATTTATGGTATTGCATTTTTTTTAAAACACTTGTTTTATCTACATAAAATGACAAGTACATCTGGTGACCAATGGAAAACATGCTTCTTAGTGAAGAAATGTTTCAAAAACAGGTTATTAATCTATTTTTTTTAAATGTGTATATGTTGTTGCCTCACAACAAGAACCTGGGTTCAATCTCTGGTTTAGATTTGGTGTTTGGGTTTTCTCACTGAGTCCGAAAACACGTTTTAAGGGTCTTGTTTTTTTGTTTTTTTTTTTTAATTTATTTATTTTTAGTCTCCTTTGCAAATATTTGTGATCTCAGAGTGATTTGTCTGGTTAAAAACAAGTTTTTTTTAGTTAATCACTACTTTATTAAGCTGCAGAGTGATGCAACTTTGAGCTCTACCAAATTTCTACCGGAGTAAAACCAGACAAGCTCAGGAAGTGGCTCGACAATAAGTAAAATAACTTGTTTATTTGTTGGAAATACATTTATTTTATACTTTTGAAATGTTTCATCAAACAGTTTGAGAATATAAAACTAAGAAATGAAACTGTTTAGCTTGAACCATTTTAGTTTACTTTAGTTTGCACTTGGTTAAACAATAAACAGAATTTAACTTTGTCATTAGCGTATACACATATTTTATTTAAAAATGTTTCATTAAGTAACTTGAGAATATAAAAGTTAGAAACAATATCTTGAATCTGAGTCATTTCACTGCCTTTTAACCTGAGTGTTTACTCTCAGTCACAGAGTAAACAAAACTACATTAAACATCAGAAACTTTCATTAGTTGGAAATACATTTGTTTTATATGTTTTACTTTTAAATCTTATATTCAACAACTTGAGAATAATAAAATCAGAAGTTAAAATGGTTAACATTGAACCATTTTAACCAACCAGAGTAAAACTGGACAAATATTAAGAAGTATATGCTTTGACAATAAACAGAAAATAGTTACTTCATACAACATTTGTATAAGTACATACTGTATGTTGAATAGTTTTTTTTTTTTTACTGTAAAGTGTTTTATTGAAAAATTAATTAGAAATTGAAGTTTTTATAATTTTAGCTTTAACTCAAATCAGACAACTGTAAATTGTTATATTCATCACATGACCATAAACAGAAAATAATTCATTCATTATTATGAAATAAATATGTTATATAATTTATATTGTAAAAAAAATTCACAGAACAACACAAAAACACACAATTTTAAAAAATAAATTTGTTACAGGTGAAACTTTACCGTTTTTTTAACCGGAGTTTTTAAAACAACTCAAGAACATAAAAACTATAAATCAAAATGTTMAATTTCTACCGTTTAATAAAAGACGAGTTTTGATTGACATTAAACAGAAAACCATTCATTTGTAACAGGAAACGTGTGTGTGTGATCCTGAAATGTTTAAATGAATGATTTCAGAAGCAGAATTTAGTGCTGCCTGGTCCTGTACTTCAGAACGGACCTACATATGGTAGAAAATACTGAATTAAATTTTTAAATGTACTTAAATGTTACACAGGATCACTAGCAACAGGTGGAACAACAGTAAAAAGACATGAATCACATCATGTGAATAGCACCCTAAACTACATAAGCACGGTGGTAATTTAAAGCATTACAGTGTAAATACATTTTTATCTGTTATACTGTTATCAACAACAAATTATAGTTTAAACCCTGATTTGCATTTTAAGTAATTGTAAAACTACAGGTTATTAGGGTTATTAGTTGAAATTGAAACATTTATTTGTGACATTTGCTAAGTAAAACAAGAATATACTGAGAGTACAACAGACTCTAAAGTCTCACGTGGGGAAATCACATTGTTGCCACAGATCCACGTCGTCAGATAGTAAACGTTTATGTGATCCTTTCATGGTATAAAGTTCTTAAAAGTAAGTAAAAAGCAAAAATAAAATAAAAACAGGAAATGTTGGAAAAGATGATATTTCATCATTTCCTATTTGGCAACCCTGCGAAGCATATACCTCACAATATAGAGGCACATTATAAAGAAAAATAATGCAAATAAATTACACAGGAGTGACAATGATTGAATGCAGTACTATAGAAAAGGATTTTGTACCAGCTGGGAAACTATAAAACATCAAGAAAACTAACTAAAGCTAATGTTTAGGGTTGTTTGCTGTCATAAAATCTGAATGGAAATAAATGTTTTTCTCAGAATAAAGCTTACATTTGAAACACTGCACCCTTTATTGTATAACGATAGGTAATTAAAGCACTTTCTTGGTGTAGTTTTGAGGCATACCTTTATTAAGTTTGAATGTTTACAATAAAGATTCTGACTTTTTGGTCTTAAGACGTTATTTTGTGTCTTATTGTTTGAACGTGGGGCTTATTATATATTAAATGTAACTGTATTTTGCAAAATTTCGACTTGCTACAAAGTTACAAAAATACTGATTCACATTAAAAAAAATGAGGCGACCACCTACACAAACCTTTTGAATAATCTCTGTAATATAACTCCGTAAAAATCTGCATATTTCTCACAAAAACACACACGCACAGGTCTGAGCCTACTCGTTTAAAAAATGTCAAGAAGTTTCTCTGACAGGTGAGCCTCAGCTCAGCTYGGTTTCAGGGCCTGGTACAATACAGCGCCGCAGTTTTACTGTGGTATCACAGGGGAGGTTTGAAGTCGGAGGTACCGGGAATCAGAGCCTGTCTCGGCACCTCTGAGAGCACCCCCCACGCCGCTGCGAAACCAAACCACCGCCGTGTACACTCATGACTAACTCTCAGTCTGAGTCTGACGCCCTGATACACTACCACCTTTTACATCACAGTAACTTGAAGATACATGACCTTTCATGAGCTTTCATGGAACGCAGAAATAATCGGGTTGTGAACAGGAGAAAGCTCCGAAATCCACRTTTATGAAGGCAGACGTGTGTCAAAACACACCTGTGAAACTTTGATTTGTAACCTACCTTCATATAAGTCARCACAGACTACACCTCCGTACTAAAATACTGTTAAATACCATCAAACATTAAGTTAGTCCTGCTGCACAAGACAAATATGGATGTTGCAAATTGGCATTTGACCACAATTACAAAACACATTTACTGTAAGCATTATAAGGAGAGCACAGTCTGAATACTGTTAGCTTCTTTGGTTAAGTCTCAAATATTTCAACACTTTTTGTTCATTCATCTCCAAACTCTTCTGTCAACACAAAATATTAACGTCAATTCAGCTGCACTAATTCTGGTTAAGTCAGTAAAAAGGGACATGTGGGCATAAAGCTAGTTATTTTTAATGGTTAATCTTTTCTGTAAATTCAGTTTATTTGTAATTTACAACAAAATCCTGAGGGCTCTGCTCAGAAAGCCATTTTGGTCATCTTTATTCCATCTATAATCCAAGTCGATGCTGTTCTTAACCCTTTTAAATTATTGTTTTGCAACGTTCTTATCAGAGCAAATGTGATTTAATCACAGTACTAACAATATTTATCAATTATGACCAAAAAAATCACAACCAACGGTGAAACAATTAAGTTTTATTTTAAATATCCCGTGCTTGTGTGAACATTAACATGTAGAATAATTTGGAGTGTTACATATTATTTTATTTTAGGGGAATACGGTTTAATAATCCTGTGGCTGCAGGTTCGAGYCCAGGCTCATTCAGGAAAGGCATCCGGCGGAAAACAATTAGCTGTTCAAGTTTGCTTACCGTTGCTTCCCATGCAGCCTAAAGTAAAACATTTATTTTAAAATGTTGCTCTTATAAGATGAGTACACTTAATGGTACAGTTGGGATTCCATAACTGTATAATTTGATCTAGCTATAA